GGGAAAGTCTTCCTGGTTTTTCCTTCGCAAACTTACGTGATATTGTGAGTTCGAAAGCAATCGATATAAACGAATAATAAAGGCTCCAGACGAATTTTTTACATGTAACACAAGAAACGGAAAGACAAACGCTACCTTTCGGTAAATAGTTTCCTAACAGAAAAAGAAAAAAATAATGAAGAAAAGGAAAAGTAATTCATAGTTACCAATGGGATTCGATCTCCCAATGTCTCGCATGGCGAGCCAGCGCTTATCTCTCTGCGCTACTTGTATACGAACGTAAGCTGCCAAAGGGCGAAAGTATTAATCTTTTATTTACGTACCACAGGCTCAAGTGTTTCGCTCAGTCTATAACTCACTTTAGACCAAACAAAATGATCTTGCCGTTTCTGACTACAGCACAAGGAAGACATGTACAGATGCATGTAATGTAAAACGTGTAGGCAGGCCTGAGTAACAAACAGTTTCTTAACGTTGAACGTTTTCATTTTGCAAATATCACAACACACCTCTGAATGGAAAAAAAGCTTTATGGGCTTGTTCGAAAACTAGGCTGCCCTCACATCTCGAGTAGTTCCTTAATGAGCAATGCCTCATAACACCCTTTCATAATTTATTTTCCAAGTTCAGTGGCTCACAGCCACTTTGATTTATTTTTCTTATTGTATTATTCCTCTGTTGTTTGGTAGGTCTATTTCGTATGCTGCGTATCAATCTCTCAATGAAGAATCCCACCTTCTTTCAGAAGAAGACATTGATAAGGTAAGGTAAAAGGTAAAGTCTGTATACGAGCCAAGTGGCCCATCAGGCTGGAGCTTATCCCGGTTTACGTGGCATGAAACGGCTAGGAGTATTTCTGCTCCCCACTGGATGGGATACTAGTCCATCGAGGGGGTTACCCCCAGCATTAAGTTCGCCGATACCCATTTATACACCTGGGTGGAGAAAGGCAGTGTGAGAGTAAAGTGTCTTGCCCAAGAACAGAACGCAATGTCCCCGGTCAGGGCTCGAACCCGGACCGCTCGATCCGGAGACGACCGCCCCTCCCATCGATGAAGTAACAGGCTGAATTTATTTCTCATCGTTGAATATATTAAGAAATGTCTTTTCTTTTCCACCGGAAGGCACTGAAACCATTTTAGCCCCGACACAGCTCAAGAAAATTCCTTTGCTCCTCTCTAAGTTTAATGTGTTTGTTGTGCTTTTAATTGGATTGTATTGGGTCTCTAATCACCGTGTTACTTGCCAAGAAACCTGTTCACAGATTACGTACTCAAATACTCGAGGAGCAAGGATGACGTAGTGGTGAGAGCGCTGGCCTCCCACCAATGTGGCCCGAGTTCGATTCCGGCCCGGGCCATATGTGGGTTGAGTTTGTTGTTTGCTATCGTATTTGCTTCGAGGGTTTTTCTCCGGGTTCTCTGGTTTTCCTCCCTTCACAAACTCGGCCCAACATCTCCAAATGCCAATTCGACCAGGCTGATGTGGCGTCGTCTCTAAATATTTCAATTTATTTATATCTCACCCGGTTTTATTTTACTGTTTGATTTTTCAGCTATCCGATCATGTCCCATCATGCACCTGGGTATTAGCCTATAGTACATTTCAACATGGTATGAGTCTCAAGACACTCTATTATCGGCTCCGAGAAGTCGACACTCCGGTTCTGTTGGTAGTGAAGGATGACAAGGGATTCGTGAGTATCAGTGAAAGGCCATTACACCCTGCGATAGTCAATGAATCCACTGATATGTAATGTGGAGTTAGTAATTTACAAAACATTCCTCTGTCAGAAAAATCGTGAAAATATAGTCTAGGCCAAAAGGACTCCTGGCAAAAATTAACCAGTAAAATGCAAATGAGTTTCGGGAAAGTTAAAAAATTTGGAATTGTTGGAAGGATTGGCCTGCTGAATATGTTATTGAACTAGCGCGAAGTCCGTATTGAGTTTCGTGAAAATTTAACTCAAATTGCCCGAAGATTTGAAGGAAAAAAGATTTCTTCTTAACAACAAACCCTTTTTTGTGCAGTGTTTTAAAAAGGCAATTCAACGAAACGGTTTCGTCCGCCGTCTATCCTGGTGTTCTGTATTGTAAAATTTGGACCCTAACCAGTTAAAACTTTCCCATTTTTCTCGGACCAAACTTTCTCCTTGGTGCATTTCTATCTTAAACTATTATTTTCATGTTTCCTCCCATTTAAAGGTAGTTCTTTTTATGTGGCCAAAATAACTGAAAATACCCTGACTGAGCTCCTGTAACAACTTATTTTTTGCAGGTATTTGGTGTGTTCGCTCCAATGGCACCGAGGATGGACTCTAATTTCCTTGGCGCTGGAAAGTCATTCTTCTTCGCTTGTAGACCGAAATACAAGGTATATTAAAAATTATTCCCTTTTTCGACCGTGCAGTGCGACAAAATTCAGTGAAGTTGATTTAGCGTCTTGGTTTGCCGTACTTAGATCTATCCATGCAGTGGAAAAAATGCCTACTACATGACAGGAGATACGTCAGGCCTAGCGTTCGGATGTAGCGAGTAAGTACTTATATAGACTAAAGATGACTTTTCTAGCCTGTTCCAGGCTCTCGGTCAATGAGGACGATCGAAAAAAGCGGGTGGCCGACGAGCGGGAACTGGTAGAGAATTCCCCTTTTCTCTACTAGATCTAGACCCCGCTAGTCGCCCATCCGCTTTTTCGATCGTCCTCATTGACCGAGAGCTTGGAACAGGCTATGACTTTTCTAACTTAGAAATACATGTGTCGTTATTTTGGTACATCTACTGCCCGTGAAAACCCCGAGAGTACTGCCCCTATAAGTGTATGTATTAAACAGGACTTAATGCTTAACCTAATGGATGAAACAAATTAGGACCACCATAATTGGACGAGGCCGTAGACCGAGTCCAATTTGGCCAACAGAGGAATTTTTAGAATCAAATTATTTCCAAATTTGACATGGATGTAGTACTCTTATACTTAATTATTAATTATTTTTTCCTACGGTACTGTCCAAATTACGTATTACTTTGAACAATATTTTTCAAAATTAACAAATAATCGTGCGCGCGCTTGTATGGGATTTTAACGATGCACCGTTGGGCTGACGGCGAAGGCCACCATTTTCAGCTATCAAAGTATTTCTAAGGGTGCACTCAAAGAAATGATAAAAATACCGCTGTCGCTTCCGTGGTATCTTTTAGGGGTCAAATAAAGCTAGCGACGCGCCCGGATTGGTCTCATTTAGGGATACAATTCAGATTCTCCCGAACTTTTCATATGTTAGTCCCCCAGGGAAACGGCTGTCTACCTCTACGTTTGAGGATATCTAAGCGTACAAAATCAACCTACCCGAGTGTAGTGAGTCCACTTTCATTAATTAGATGAAATAAGTTTGATTTGGTATTTTCACATTCTGAGGAGGACATACAGATTGTTCAGTTTTTCATGTTAACAATTTACAGGGGGACATTTGGACTTTGGTTGGACAATGACCTTTATCGCGGCAGGAGCACTGCGTGTGAGACTTACAACAGCGAGATGCTCTCGTCCTCAGAGGACTTCTTTTGTGTCGGTGTGGAAGTGTGGACGTTTGCTTAGGTGTTACGTGACAGACTTATGTCACGTCACAGTCACAGATGTGCCTGTCACAATGCCGGTATCTGTGAAGATTGAACGATTAGATTGTAAAATAAGATATTTCAGAAATTTTCTCTATCGTTGGAATAATAATTGTAAATAACAGAATTTTTTTTTTTTTTACCTTATTGGACATAGGAAATTATCGATTGATTAATTTACGAAATTAGTAAATGAATAATTTTAACATACCAATACAAAGTTTAAAATACATAAGTTTTACTAATTAATTCATACATGTAACATATTTATTATACCAAGAAATTGTAAATAACTGAACAGCAGCTGGAAGAAGATATCTATTATAGAAGCTATTAAATTATAGTGTGTAGAGATGATAAAAGAGGAACTAATATTTTGATATGGCATACAAAAGAGGTGCTGGATTATACACTGAATAGAGACAAAGTACTCTCTTATCATTGTTTCCTTGATTTCTAATGAACTGAAGAGAAAATTAAATGAAGCAAGCGTCTACAAATGCCCAAGAGAAGATAAAGAGTCAGAGACTTAACTCTCATACAGGCATTCCTTCTCAAGTTATTTTTAGATATGGTGTTCAGTTCTATCGCTGATAATGTTACCACGCGCGTTGCGTGGTTGAAGATGCGTGTAAATCCGTTTGAGCCGTCCACGTAAGAGGCGGATCATTATATTTTGAGGAGGTGGGATGGGCCATTTTCTGGGACATGAAATTTTTGACTCAACTTTAGGTTCTGCAGGATTTGCTTTGGTGGGCGATAGCTTGTGCATTAATGATAGTAAATAGCACTTGCTCGATTTTTTTTTCCCATGGCTGCCCTTGCACGATTTTTTGTTAACAGGTTTTGCTGTGCAGGAATTAATTTTTTGGAAATTGCCCACCCCCGCCCCTTCAAACAAACAATGGTCCGTCCCTAAGTAAAACTCGTGTCATAGCGTTGGTTATTTTTTGACCCTGCCTTAAGAGGGATTCTCTTGGAAAGAAGGTCTTTGTAGGGGATTATCTCTCTCACCCATTATCTCCTCTTGCTATTAAACAATTAGCTTATGAGCTGGAGATTTCTATCGCGTGATAGTTGACGAGGGCGCAGCCCGAGTCAACCATTACGCTCAGAAATTGAGAGCGAATAATCTAATTGGATAATCTAATTGAATAATCTAATTGAATAATCTAATTGAATAATCGAATAATCTAATAATCTAAATCTAAATCTACTAGTCGTTCAAAACTTTATCTAAATCCTCTTCTTCCCCCCATTTTGTGGACGAGTAATGAGACAACAAAGTATGTATAGTTTTCGTCGTGTAGTATTAGATTTGAACAATATTTCAGTTTGTGAACACGTTAATCTTGAAAAAAATTACGTGCTAACGGTGCGGCGATTTAAACTTTATCGTCAGCTTTTTATGTCGATAAACAGCTTATGCTGTTGTTTACGCGCAGATGAGGTATTAAAAAAATTATCATGTCAGGCCACCATTTGGCAAAATAAAATAAGCGCCCCCACTCGATTAGGCGCCACGCCTCGAATAAGCGCCCCCCGTCTTCTCCTAAATTTGAAATAAGCGCCCCTACTGTATACTGACTTATCCAGCGGACAGTGTTAACTGACAGTCCTTTGAACAGCTGCTGACCGCTCGCGCGCTCTGGCCATCTTTTAGTAGGCTTTTTGTCGGTTAGAAACTGATATGAAATGAGAATCTTATTGACCTCGTTTGTTTGCTCGTTATTGGAACTCGACTTTGTTTGGGTTCAATAATGACTAAAAATCAACGGAACAAATCTTAGTCGATATTTCCATATTTTTACAACTAAACTTCGGAATAAGTTCAATTGAAACTATCTCTTTCACGTTTAATTCTACAGAGACATTAACAGATGTTTGAAACGATATATCTTCCTTTATTTAACGTTCCCAGGTTACATATTATTTTCCTTATGTATAATTTGCCTTATAATATACAACAAATATAAACTACACTCTTAGATAAATTATACAGATGAATTTCTCCCAGCAGATGACTCAGATTGATTTTTCCCATTTCGTATTATGTTCATTATATAACAAACAATGTCAACAACAATAAAAGCCACATGATAAGATTAAAGATAACTTAAAAAAAAGGCTTGACTGCATATTAATTTGAAAAAAAATGACGTAAAGTGTGTCTGGGA